GACCCAAGTTCATTTCCTTGGCACCAGTTCAAGGGGCTCACAACCACCAGTAACTCTAGCTCTGGGAGAACTGCTTCTTCTTCTGGCTTCCATAGACACACACAGACACATAGATACACAAACAAACACATATCCATAAATATAAAATAAATCTTTTTTAAGCTTCAAACTTTCCACTCAGATTGGAAGAAACTGGTGTCAGATTTCAGAGACTTGTTTTCCTCGGTGTAATAGACATGACTTGGATGGTAAGTCATGCTCCCTTTCCTTTACTTTAAAAAAAAAGCCACATTTTAAAGCTTTCTTCTTTCTGGTAAGACGGGAAAGGTTGGATTTCAGGTCATTTGTCCACTCACTTCCTGAGAAAAGCCACTTCCTTCGTCGGCATGGTGGACCTGCCTGAGACAAGGGGAGGGCCTTAGCTGGGGCTTGGCACTGTTGTCAAACTCCTCAGAGGGGTCAGGTCTGTCTAAAGACCTGCTGGTTTCCTTGGATTTTTTTTTTAATTCTGAAATTCTCTCCCAAGGAAAAGGAGGGGTTAGAGATCCAGGGTCATGGAGTGAGAGAGGGGAGGCAGCTGGACCGTTTCCAAGGTCTCCAGACTCATCCTGTCCTGGTTTCCCTGCCTAGGAAAGACTCAACAAGCGCAATTTGGCTGGGTTGGGATTTTGTTTGTTTGTTTAGTTTTTGAGACAAAGTTTCACTGTGTAGCCCTGGAACTGCTGTGTAGACTAGGCTGGCCTGAAACTCACTGCACGCTGCCTGACTCTGCTTTGTAAATGCTGGGATTACAGGTGTGTGCCATCCTGCCTGGCTTCAGCTGAGGTTTTGATGCGGGACAACAGGGACAGATACAGATACTTTCATGTCCCATACCAAAAAGACACATTTATACTCCATAATAATAATAATAAAGAATTAACTGGCAGATGTTTGTAATTACACACTGCCAGCGGTTTGTCTGTTCTGGGTTAACCCCTCCTACACCAGATGCCCCTGGAAGAGAACAAGGCTGACCCCATCAGAAATTAATGAAACTACACTTCAAGATAGCCTGGGTCAGACATCTAGAGAATGAAGGGAGAGCACGAGGGGTGATAACAAGATAGGTACAGATTACACAGGTCTCTGAACAGTGACTGACCACCTGAGAGAGTGCAATGACTGACTGACAGAGCAAATAGTCTTCTTCTGGCTAGAGATGACATACAGACACAGAGGCAGTCCCCCCCCCCCGGGTGTGGGTGTGAGAGAGAGAGAGAGAGAGAGAGAGAGAGAGAGAGAGAGAGAGAACCTTCTATGGAGACCACAAGCCTGGAATTCATAGAGATCTGTCTTCCAGTGCTAGGATTAAGGGTGTGCACCAGCATGCCTGGTTCGGAGGCATTGTGTGTCACCACAGCTGCCCAGAGGTAGTTCTTTATGGGTTAACCTACACCTTCTCAGACCACCTGCTATCTGGATGAAGTACCCTAGCCTTTGCTCATTGGCCTATGTGGTGACAGCTGGCCTTCTGGCTATAGTTTGACCATGTCTGCCTCCATAGCTTGTGGGATGTCATGAACTAACGCATCCCATCCCATCCCCCAGTGCCCCCTCAGTGCTCCCCAATGCTCCCTGAGCACCCTGCTCCTACTCTCCTCCCTATGACTCCCTCACTCTACACCCCACCCTCATTCCACCAGCCTTCTCCTGTCAGAGGTTCATGGGACGATTCCAGTCCCGACTCTGTCATGAAAACATCCCTGAACTGAGCTGGAAACTCACGGGTTCTTTGGAAAGTTGGTTGTGTCGGATGATGTTTTCCTGGGGTAAACATGTGAAGGACTGTTCGCTGAAGTGGACACAGGTGAAAGGACACACAATGAAGGATTTGTCACTAAATGACAGGCATGTATTGGTCTGCCTTACATTGCGTAGTTGAGCTTGATTTGTCTGGACTCCATAGAGAGAAACGCACCAAAAAACTTCTGGTGGTGTGCTGCGGCTTCTTGCCACTTCCGAAGACTTAGGCTGATTGGCAGAGTGATGTCAGCTGAGACAGACGTCCATGCTGAGGCGAGCCCTGTGGAGGCCATGTGATGGAGGATAAAGAGGACTGAACGGACAATGGAGGGGGCTGAGATTGGCTTGCTCGCACAGCTGAATACTCCTTGGTCTCATGCGTCTTCGCCGATCTTCACTTGGCTAAGGGAGGCACCACTGAGAATATTTCCTGATGGTCTTGGTCTCTCCTGCTGACTCCAGCCAACGATAAAGACTGGGTGTCTCTGCTAAGTCATGCCACTGCTGTTGACTAGTGTTTGGTATTTTGATTCTATCAAACTGGACCGCTGGTGAATCTGCAAAGTATTTGTGAGTGGATGGGGTCAGCCGCTGCTGACCTGTGAACTGAACTGCTGATTTCCTGACACCACAGATGGGAGTTGCTCCAAAGAACCTTTCTAAACAGATCAACTCCCACCACCACCACCACCACCACCACCACCACCCTTTCTTTTCCACTACCTCTGGTGGGTGGTGAGCTAAAAGGGAGGTTAAAGTGTTTAAGAACCATCATTAAAAATAGGTGTTGAAAAAAATTAAAGTTACACTGAGCATTGATATTATTCTAAAAAAAGAGAGTGGATCTTAAAAATGACTTTTAAAACTATAATGTACACGAAGTTATTACTATCATCACTGGTATGATGAATGCTCAGATCCAGGCTTCTGGGATAGCCAGTGACATGCCCACATGGAAGCACTGGATTCTCAGAGCTACCCTTACAAGCTGTGACCTACAAGAGAGGCTGGAGGCTGGGACACCTGCCACCAGTTGGAACCAGCCCCACGGCAGTAGAATCGGGTTAAATACACAATTTGGTTTTCGTATCAAATCCCAAGCTCTTTTGGTACAAATACAAAAGAGTCACTTCCCATGGGGAGGTTAGCCTTCTCAGTCCCTTAACTCCCTGACTGGCTTTCTCAGGGTACACAGTGTGTGGTCGCAGGGCAGAGCCCAGCCTTAACCCAGTGGGCTCCTGTAGCCCACTCTAAGCTGGGCTTGTATGGAATCATCCGGGCTGTCATATGCTCCTCGGATATTAAGAGGGTTAGTGGGACAGTGCAGAGGCTAAGAATGAATGCTTGTACAACCGTGAGAACCAGAGTTTGGATGTCAGTGCCTACATAACAAGCCAGGGATGACCTGGTTCCTTAAGGGATGGAGATGGAAGTTTGCTGGGGCTTGCTGGTTTCCAGCCTGGCAGAGCCCTCAATCCAGGTGGAGAGCTCCCTTAAAGCTGTAGGCGGAGAGTCATAGGGAAACATATTTTTTTTTGCTTCTATATTGTACACACCTGGAATACACAAGCATGCATACACACATACATATAACATATATGTCTTAGAGTTTTACTGCTATGAACAGACACCATGACCAAGGCAACTCTTATAAGGACAATATTTAACTGGGGCTGGCTTACGGGTTCAGAGATTCAGTCCATTATCATCCAGGCAGGAACATGGCAGCATCCAGGCAGGCATGGTGCTGGAGGAGCTGAGAGTTCTACATCTTCATCTGAAGGCTGCTAGGAAAAGACTGGCTTCCAGGCAGCTAGAAGGAGGGTCTTAAAGGCCACGCCCACAGTGACCCACTTCCTTCAACAAGACCACGCCTACTCTGTTGTGGATCAGTTCTATTGCTATTTGTGCTAATTCGGCTCCCAAAATTACATGGGAATTGGCCAGTTGGCTTTGATTGGTGAAATAATGTTGCCTGTGGCCAGTGGTTGGGCAGGGAGACAGAGGCGGGACTTCAGACATCCCAGGCAAGGGAGCAGGAGAGAGTTTTTAGAATTGCCATGACAGGGAAGCAGAGAGATCAGACCTGAGGGATCAGGAGAGAAAGCATCCAACCAGGTAATAGGGAAGCAGCCCCAGGGGAAGCAGAAGTGGCCCAGCCTTTGAGCTGCTTAGAGAATATTAAACAGAAGGCTCTGTGTGTGTGTGTGTGTGTGTGTGTGTGTGTGTGTGTGTGTGTATGTATACCGATGAATACACATATACATACACAAATAATTTCTCTTTTAAAAAAAGTCAAGAGATGGTGAGATAAGGCAAGGCTCAGAGAAATTCTAGAACTGGATGCTGATTACCAAGCCTGATATTTATGAGTATAGAAGGAAGAGGAGGAAGAGGAGGAAGAGGAGGGCAGGCTGTGGCAGGTCTCCTTCAAGGGTGTCTCACTCGGGTGTGCCCCTTCTCTTCTCTGAGTAGCTGGCTCCTGTGCCCTTGGTTGTGTCTTAGGCTTCATTCTGAGTACCTCTCTTCATGTTACCCTCATGCTGAAGATTTATTAAAATATCCATCCATTCCTAGTTCTTTTTTTCTAAGCCACAGAGACACTGAAGCTAACAGGTCTCTGATCTTATCTTCATCCTTTACACCTGTAAAAGGAAGGATAATAAAATCTGCCCTGTGTGACCAAGGAACCACAAAGCTAACATGAGACCGGGGGTAGGGCTGGGGGAAGACCCAAACCCTCCATGGGTTGGTGTGGTTCTAGGAGCCGGTTGACCGGGAAGACTTCCAGCATGTGCAGAGTATTTTCTTTGAAGACAGGATCCATTTCCTGGGACTCTCTGGGCTCAGTACCACAAGTCGGGTGGCATGGGACAGCACAAAAGGAGACTGGAATCAGGTAACTGTTGGGACCATACTCCCCCAGATGTCTCTAGGGAAGGCTCCTTGACTCCTGCAGGTGCTGCTAGGACTCCATAGGCTGTGGCCTCGTCACCCTCATCTCTGTCCACCTTCCTTTGAACCTGCCTGTTCCTTTATTAAGACAACAGTCCCCAGGGTTGGGGTCACTCTTATCCCACATGGCTATAACTCCATGCCATATGCTACGGCCATGTTTCCAGAGAAAGCCATGTCCTGAGGGGATGGGTTTTAAGGGCACAGGGTAGCTTTGGTGGAGCATGCTCAGAACACAGAATATTTGAGAAAATACTCACCTGCTCTTTAGGAAATGCAGAGTTTTCTTGCTTTCCAAGAAGAAACACTGAGGCAGCAGGGTAGGCAGTGGGGGCAGTGAGCTGGAGGGGAAAGGTTAATAATACAAGAAATCCTTGGCTCTTGCTGGGGATTGAACTCCATTACCAGGCCAGTGTGAGAGGAAGCTGCAAGCAACACTTGCTCCTGGGGAGCTGGCTCTGGAGTGTGCTGCTTCCCAGGGAGCCACAGTCCTCCCTGTGTGGATCTGAAGTGCATTGACCTGACAGGAGCTGGGCTCCACTCTGCCCTCTGCCTGCACATGCTGGAAGGGCCCCAGTGAAAGGACGCCAGCGTGATTGTCCCACACAGGCCTCCGCTTTCCTCACAGTGGAATCTTCGGTTTGCATCCTGACTCAAAGTTAATCACAGCTGCAATCAGTTCTCCAGAGAACTGAGCAGAAGGACACACAGGATGCATTCTTCTCAGAGCTTGGGAAAATCCACACCGTACAGGGCCTGTGTCCCCAGAAGTCTATTCTTTGAGGAAGGTGTATCATGGCTTCTGTCAGCCCTTGGCACGTCTGCATTTGTGCATCTTTCTTTGCTTAAAAAAAAAAAAATTAAACCAGGTGTGGTGGCACAGGCCTTTAATCTCAACACTCCAGAGGCAGAGGCAGGAGGATCTCTGTTGAGTTTGAGGCCACCCTTGTCTACATAGTGAGTACACACACACACACACACACACACACACACACACACACACACACACACGAGACTGTGGTTAAGAACACTTGCTGCAATCCCACACCCACGTAACAAGCCAGGAGTGCTCTCATACACACTTACAACCCAGTGCTCTCAGGGGCAGAAACAGGAGACTGACTGTAACTGGCTGTTGGCCTAGCTGAACAAACTCCTGTTCAACTCCTCAACTCCAGGTTCAGGAAGAGACTGCTTCAAAGAAGGTGGGGAATGGTAGACGAAGGCTCCCAACAGCCTCCTCCATCGTCTGTGTGCGCAGCCATCATCTGTGGGGGCATGCACACACACAAACTTTACAATGTTACAAGCTAGGCCTTGTAGAGTGTTCCCACAGTCCTAGCTGCCTGGGAGACCTGAGCCCAGAAGTGTGAGGAAAGTCTAGGCAAAAGAGATGGGGATTCTGTCTCAAAAACAAAACTAAATTCAACAAAACTAGTAAAAGAATTAGGGTAGGGTATCAGTAGAAGACCTGATTAGCCTGAGCGAAAGGCAAGGACTTGATCCACAATACCACACACACATAAGCAATGATAATATGACTTACGTATTTGGTACAAAGGTGAGTACGATTCATGATGACATCACTACTGTATATTCAATTATTAATGCATTTCTTGCTCCCCCCCCATGCTGTGGCTTAATAGAAGTTAAAACTAACATTTCCCTTTTTTGGGGGGCAGAGCTTCTATATTATCATGGAGGAGGGGTTGAGGGGGCGAGGTCTACTCTATCATGGACCATACGATGTGTGGAAATATTGTCCCTGGAGAGGAGCCACACTGTTTTAATCCTGTGCCTGTGAGGTATTGAGGGTGGTGGTGAGTGGGTTTAGATCTCAAAGAGATGACTTTAGGGTCAATCCAGTCTACCCTCATGGGAGTGACTAAAAACCTTTTGAGACTCATAGACACAGGAATAAGGTTTAAAATGCCATGTTTTTCCTCTTCATAGTTAGAAGCCCTCGTTCCACAGGCCCAACTGTCTGTCCAAACAAAAGTACACCTGTTTGTCAAGGCTCCTGTCCTTCGATGTAAACACCAGGACACCTTGTCATATATGGGATTAAAAAAAAAAGTAGATGTAAGCAGATTGACTTGGGGGAAAGTTGGGAAGAGTTCTTAGGCCACCAACTAAACAGGGACTCTGGACCTTGTGCACCCCAATACTAATCCTTCCATCCTGAAGGTCTGGTGGCAATTTTTGTTCTGTGGGGACCATAATTATTGACAATTCAGAGAACAAACATTGAGTCTTCCATCTATCCTTGCCTTCACGCTGCCTTCTTTTAAGCTAGAAAACTGCCTTGTTTTTAAGAGAGAAAGTGTGTGTGTGTGTGTGTGTGTGTGTGTGTGTGTGTTTATGTGTGCCATATGCACACGATTACAGGTTCCAACAGAGGCCAAAGGTGGTGTCAAATTCCTTGGCACTTGAGTTCCAGGAGGTTGTGAACTGCCCAATGTGGGTGCTGGGAACTGAACCTGGGTCTTTTGCAGTACATGCTTTTAACCCCAGCACCATCTCCAGCCTAAATAGAAAAGTTTTACCAGTTCTACTGGGTCTAGGGTGCATCCTCAGTTATTTTAGACGACTCTTGTAGAAGACCTGGTCATAATATCCAGGCTTCCAGATCAATAGACTCAATTAACCTTTGATTAAAAAATATTAGAAAAAAAGTGTCTGTGCTGGGCATGTGCAAACATGTTCTTGTCAGTATCCTTGAATAAAATACAACAGCTCTTGACAGAGCCTCTACACTGCATTGTCGGTAAATAGTCTAGAGGTGATTTAGAACGTGGTCAGGGTGTGCAGACACTGAGTCACACACACTCTATGGGAGGATGCTCTTTGCAGGCACTGCCATGTTATATACATAGTGAACCCCTGAGGGAGATTCCGAGGGATCCTGCAAGCCAGTTTCTCAAGGATACTGGTGGACGACCATGCTTCTTTTAGACTTTGCAACTCTTATAGTCCTTGGCTATAGTATGAATAAAGCTGTCCTCCAGACTCAAGCAGCAGTCTAGCGTCTAAGGCTTTTCGTTAATGTTATTAAGAGGGTGGAAACCTCATCTGATTATGGTCTTCAGAGGCTGTAGGGATGTGATTAGGTTGCTGGGGTAGGGCCCCATAATTGAACCTTGTTGGCTTTATAAGCAAGAATCAGACTAGCAAGACCTCTCTACACCCTTGCGTTGGTGTGGTGAAGCACAAAAGGCATCACCAGGGCCTTCAGCACACTGCTTAGGTCTCATACATCTCAGACTTTGCACACAAACAAACAAAAAACCTCTTTCTTTATTATGTAGCCTGCCTCGGGTATTGAATTATAGCAATGAAAAGCTGACTAACACATCTTGGCTGCTATTATTGCCCTACGCTGTTACAGAGGAAAAGTAGCTATTGACAATCTCTAAGTAAATGGGCATGATCACAGTCTACTAACACTTGCTTTAAAAAGCAGCAGATGTATACCTGTAATCCAATCCCTGGGAGGCTGAGGCAGAAAGAGAAGGAGTCTCAGGCCAGTCTGGACTATGAGGTAAGAGCATGCCTCAAAACAATAACAAAACGAGGCAGACAAAGAGAACTGATTTGACCTGTGGTAGCAGCTTGCCAAACCCAGAGCCACCTAGCAACACATCTCTCACTTTCTGATCGTGTTCTGTTTGCTTCTCTCAGAACACTCTGTGTGTCTGTTGCACACCATGCCTTGTGTTAGACATTATTAGTCCCCTTAACATGTCTGTTCTCCCTTCGTTTCTTTAAAATAACTTATTGCATTTTCTTGATTTATGGGGTGGGGTGGTAGTAGAGGTTGGTGACTCTCTTCCTCGGTGTGGAATTAAACTCAGGTTGTTAGCATTGGCGGCAAGTGGTAAAAATACCACTGAGTCAGGTGCTGGCTGACTCGGTGCCTTTAAATTGAGGCTCGGGGTTAGAAGAGCCCCTAAGGACTGAGCCACTGGCATTTCACACTGGTGTGGAGAAGGCCTTTTTGTATGAGGGTGAGATGTCCCTTGTTTCTCTCAGGAACATGTGTGGATGGCACCTTTCTGCCTGTTGAAATTGTCTCTCATCCCCAGGAATCCACACTTAAGAGGTTGAGGCACAAGGATCATGGTGAGTTCCAGGCCTCACCAGGAGGTGAGAAGCTACACTGCCAGCCAGATGTTGAGATAACTACAAACCTGGTCTACAGACTGAGATCCTGTCTCTCCACACACAAATAAAACAGAGTCTGTTAGCATTTTAGAAAACTCCAAGGCTGACTCTGTGAGATCCTTACTGTGTCTTCTTTCTTAGGAAGAACACCAATGGCTACAATCCCTTCGGCACAATGTGAGGTCTTGGGGTCTTGTTTTCACTTACCCAGGCTCACTAAGAGAACCATTGTGTGTGGCATATACATGTGTATGCATGGATGTTTGCACACCACAGCATGGCTGTGGAGGTCATAGGACAACTCTGTGGGATGAGTTTTCTCCTCCCACATTTATACTCCAGGGACCACTTTCAGGTCCCCAAGCCTGTGCAGCAGTCACCTTTACTAGCTGAAACATCTTGTCAGGCCCTCCAGGATACTTTGTAACCAGCTTCGGTTTTACACTGTTAAACCACTCATAACTGCTGACCAGCTGGCTAGCTTCCCAGTGGTAACTGCTATGGAGCTGGACAAATGCTACAGTGTGTTAGAGAAGACTGCTCGCTTCTCTGTTAGTTGCCCCTGAGCACAGCTCCCTCGTGGGCAGCTTGGTGTCTCTAATGCTTACCTGTGACCAGTACGCCATGCTCAACATGTGCGCAATGAGTGGCAGAACCTATGACAAACCCAGAGTACAATGACCACAAAACAAAGCAGATGAGAGGTGACACACAAGGCAGCAATCAGAAGTACCACTGCTGGCCCCTAAACCCAAGGCCTCACACGGGCTTGGCAAGCACTTCATCCACTGAGCTACACTGCCAGCCAGATGTTGAGATAACTACAAACCTGGAATCTAGCTAAGCCCTTCCCATCCCGAGTCACACTAGGCTCTTGGAGCTCCACTCCTGGACACTGCCTACTGCCCGGCCACCAAATAGGAGCAGAGCATGGAAGAAGAGTTAAATAGACACCTTAGAGACTTAGTTAGAGAGGTTCTGTTTAGGCTTCAGAAAAGAATTTGATTCTGGGTTTGGACAGAGGGTTGGGATGAGGGCAGAGGAGGCCCCTGGGGTCTTAGCAGACCTTTTTGTTGTCACAAGGAGGCAGACTTGGCCCTGGGTTTGTGGTGGGAATAACGAGAAGCCCTTTCTAGGCTGCTCTTTGCTCACTGTTCTCCGGGAGGACTAACAGGCAGGAGAGGGTGCCTTGCCTGCTGCTAGGGTTGAGTGTTATCATTCAACCCTGCTTCCCCAAGGTTTTGTGATTAAGGGAGGAGCCAGGGGTGAGACAGGAGCTTGATAC